CTGCCCAAAATTACTTGTTCTTATATTTTTTGGAAGTATGCACAAAAATTAAACGAAAATTTTTTAATTTAACATGACTTAAAAAAAAAAAAAAAAAGAGAACCTATATAAATTGTTTTATGGGCTTTCTTTTGGGTCTTGATAAATAAATCAAATCAAAGCACAGTAATCAGGATTAACTTAAAGTTTCATTTGCTGAACTTCTGGCTAAATATTACTTCATGGTTAAATTGATAAATAATTTAAATTTAATTTGCAGAGATTTAGTTTTACTTAAAGTAAGCTTGAAACTTTTACAAACAACCAAACTTGAAAAAAATTATTCAGCATTTTTTTTTTCTATTTTGCAGAAAGGTTAAAAAAAACATAAGAATCACACAAGATTCTAACTTGGAGTGTAAGACTAGCATGCTCATAAATACTATGTATTTTACTTTTTATAGTGCTAACATGCAAGTGGTTTTTTTATTTTGAGTAAGCTTTCTTTTATACTAAAGTTTTCTCAAATTGACCAAAAAGTATTATTTCTGATTCTGCTAAAATTTAACTTTAAACTTATACAACCTTTTATAGTCTAAATTTTAAATTTTTTGATATGTTTGTCACTAAGTAAATTATTATGTTCCTGCATTCTTATCATTATCTTTCACTGTATCATTAGGTGATACTTCTATACTTGATCAATATGTATATTAACCTGCAGCTAATGATCTTGATCCAGGTCCTGATGGTTATCTTAAATACAATATTCTAAGTGGTAACAACGATGGGTTATTTTATATTGATGTTACAGGTTTTTAAATTATTATTATTTTAACATTTATTTCTTTTATTATAAATAACTATAGTATATATGTGTGTAAATATATTTATATATACATTTATATACACATATACATATGTATATATATATATATATATATATATATATATATATATATATATATATATATATATATATATATATATATATATATATATATATATATATATATATTTATATATATATATATATATATTTATATATATCTGTGTGTGTATATATATGTATTTAAATATATATTTTTTTATATATAAAAATTTAATATTTTTAACAACTATTAGTTTCATGTTTATTGCAATCATCAGGTTTTAATAGTTTTTAAGTTTTACACTGTAATGTGTTTGTCGTTTTTCTTAACATCTTAGAGTCAAATTCTCTTTAAGCTTAAAAACTGCCTAAAGTAACCCAAAATATTAAACATAAAAAACCAATCCCCACCACCAAGCTATTTTAATAGATGAATATTCGTGATATGCAAAGCAACCTTCCATCAGTTGAATCTTACTTCTTGCTAAATTTACCAGACTTGTTTTTAGTGAGACTAATTAAACTCTCTTATTTCTTCTTCTGATCTTAGTGTTGATGTGTACTATCCTTTGATTCGCAAAGATTCCAATCCCCAAGCCATGTCACATGCATGGCTTGGGGTACACAAATACATCAGTTCCCCTATATGTCTTTGATATGGTTCGAATCTTTTGACCATTCTTTTATATGCTTCCGTCTAGCACCTTTTCATTTTATCACCTTTCTCTTTGTTTTTTATTATTCTCTTTTTTTCTAAGACTGCAACTTTTAGGTGTGTTTTCTGATCAAATTGACCATGCCTTCTATCTTTACCCCTTTGCCAATATTGTTGTTTTATGTGACTTAAATGCTCAACATACTGAATGGATTGATTATAATATTACTAACCATGCTGGCACTAAAGTCTATAACTTCTGCTTTTCTCAATCTCTTAATCAGATAGTTAACTTTGTGACTCATTTTCCTGTCAACCCTAATCATTTAACTTCCCTCTATGATTTATGTCTGGTTTCAGATCCTAGCTTGTGTTCAGTTTTTCTTTTTTTCTCCTTTAGATGGTTCTGACCATGCATTTATTTTGATTTCTTTTGTTATAAGTTTTTCTTTCAAAATATTAGATAACATAATTTTTAACCTAAATAATAATGCACTTTTATTAATTTGCTTTGTAAATATTTAAAAAAAAATATTAACGCATTTTTTCTCTGATTTTCAAAAATGTATTTTTTGGTATTGAGGTGATCTAATTTCATTATTTATATTTCCATTATAACATCCAATATATATTATGGCGGGGGCTTAAAAATTAAAAAACTAATGTATATTAATTTTTATTTACAGACATACATGGAAACATAATTAACTTAAATGTTTTTAAAACATTTTGCGAAAGAATAAAAAGAATACTCGCGAACACTAAAAACCAGCTAAATTTGCGAACAAACTATTTCCATTTGTTCAAAAAACACGCTGACTAAGCGAAATAAAGTTCTAGAGTATTCTGTTTAAATGTTTTAGGAATTGTATTACTTACGATTTGTTGCGTTTTGAGATATCTAGCATAAATTTTTTTAAGAATATATTATCAAATGAACTATTACTTTAATATTATGGCTCATTCTCGGAGCCATATCTGTAAAGCCATAAAATTTTTAAACTATTATCATTTGTTTACAAAAATAAATGTTTTATAATATATATTTTTTAAATTGTCAAAATTTTGAAAGTTAATTACAAATTATATATTTTATTAGTATATTCTTAATTTTTATATCTTTTCTTAGAGCTTGGTTTAATTGTTTGTTAGATTTGTAAAAAACTAACAAAAAATTAATAAAATAAACTTTTAATATAATAAGTAACTATAGTTAGCTATTTGAGTAAAATTTAATAGTAAATTTTTTAAAGAATTTCTAGAATGTTTCCAATGATGTCATGCTCTTAAACTCCTATGAATTAAACGCGCTTGAATAAATTTTCAAGTCTGTATAATGCGCCTGGAAAATCCCTTTTATTTTACATACTCAAAATACCAGAGAAAACGGAGAAGACGAGCTTCAACTAAAACAACAAGATTTGTTTTTCTTGGTTTACATTTATTATTTAGTTTTAATCAAAAAAAATTTGCTCAGACGTTTTTTTTTAACATTCTCTTTAATAACACAACATGCCTCGGGACTTGGTAGTCCCTTTAACAAGGGTAGGTCTAACATTCCATCTCCCATTCATGGGACTGATCTTATTACCACTCCCAAGAGTAAGGCAGAACTCTTTTCAAATAACTTTTCTTCTAATTTTGTCTTATTTTGGCTGGTTCTCCAATTGATGGTCTTCCTCTTTTAGACAAAGTCCAAAAACACATTGTGAACTAACTGTTTATGGTTGCTTAAAAAGTTTTTTTAGTAATTTGAGAAAATTTCTGTTGATTCCATAGTTTTTAAGTTTTTTTATAATAATTTTTGTATCAGAATCTCGTGATCTTATCAAAGGCTTTTGATAGGTCAATGAAAACTCCAAGAGTATATATTGTGGTTTCTCAAATGATTATGCAATATTTCGAGTCAGATGAAGTATTGTGTGATAGTGGAATTATTTTTTTTAAATCCATATTGACTGGTATTTAATATTTATTTATAGATGATCATATATTGACCATATTGACTGCTATTTAATATTTATTTATAGATGATCATATATTTTAATGTAAAGAATTCTTTCAAAATTCTTTGAATGAGTGTTATGGTAGATTTTTAGAGTTATATATGATGAGATGTGATAAGTTCAAAAAAATACGGACAACTACAAAAAATACAGACAATTATTGAAAAAATACGGACAACCACTACAAACATGGATTATATCTAATATAAACTAATTAATGAAAAAAATAGATTATGTTCAAAACTTTTTGCTTTCCTTCCTTTAATATAATATCCTTTAATATGCCTTTAAACTATTTAAATGTAAAACAGCTAGATGTTCTGAAAAAAGTCTTTATAAGTTTTAAGCATATGTGAACAGAAAACAAAAATGTAAGGATATAACTTGCACTGATACAAATGGTACAATTTGTGAGAACCATTCAGTTAAATTTAGTTAAGAAGTTTGTTAAACTTCTTTTTTAAATGTTTATTTACTCAAAATGATAAAGCCTTACAAAAATATGATGCTGTTACTCAAGTTTACTATGAAATTGATATAAATAAAATAATCTGCCAAAATAACTTTTGGACAGTTATCAATTAAGTGGAAAGATTTAAACATAATTCCAATTTTTGAAATTGTGATAGGCTTGATCCTTCAAACTATAGACCTATTTTCTTTCATTCATTATATGTAAAGTTTAAGAAAGTTTTGTAAAAATAGCATTCGGCATCTTTTAGATAATAATTTTTTAACAAGACCCAGCATGGTTTTTACCGATTAAATTTTGCATTACAAAAATACTTAAAAGCCAACTCAAGCAATGGATCAAGAATACCCTATTGACATGTATTCTAAGCTGAAACACATGGTATAAATAAAGAAAAAAAAAAAAGTTTTTGTTACTGTCATTGCTTTTACAAAGATTTGTGTTTTAAGTGGTGTGCCTACTTAAAACACAAAAACACTGGTTGTTAAAAGGTAAATAGTGCTTCCACCCATAAACTTTCAACAACCCTTTAACTTCCAACAATACCCTTTAATGTTAACACCTTTTAACTTTAGCACCCTTTAACTTTACCCTTTAACTTTAACACCCATAACTTTCAGCAAAAATAAATTTCTATTACATAGCATTTTTTAATAATTAAAAAAAAAAATTTTAATAATTAATAAAAACTTTGAGTAAAATAATTTATTTTACCCAAAGTTTTTTTTTTTTTAAAGGAATTTGAAAATAATTGTTGTTGTAGTTGCAAAGAACATTGTGTAAAAACAGTAAATATTATAAATATGGTGGATTTAATGTTTTGAGTCATTTTAAATGTATTTTAGATTTAAATAGAGTCTAATCTAAAAAGGAATCATTTAAATCTAATATCATTGCAAAGGCTCATAATAAAATTAGAAAAACAATTTTGTTCAATGAAAAAGCTATAAAAAATGTATTGCATTAAAATATGCAAAGTTTCATATATAGTTTTATACAGTTTCCACTCTATCGAAGATTTGGAACTGGAAGCAAGTGAGAACTGGAGGCAAGTGAGGAAATGAAGCGATTTTCAACAAGTGAGTATCAATAAGAGTTTCTTAAATAATTATATTAATTTAAAAATAAAAAGCAAAATATTTATGTGTGTGCGTGCAAGAAGTTTGATATTAAGTAAAAAAACGATTTAAAAACAGTTATATATAATATATAAAAGTAAAAGTTATATGATATATATATATAGTATAATAAATGTTTTATATAGTAATATATAAAGAAGTTAGGTTGATTATTGGTTAAAACAATTGGAAATAAAGAAATGATATATAGCTTTTTGTGACAAAGCATTTAACTTATAAACTTATTTAAACTTTTATAAACTTAATTATTTAAATTTTACTTAAGGTATTTAAATTTTATAAATATATATTTTCTTGTAAAATTGTATATTATTTCCTAAAAAATGTATAATTTCTTTTGTAAATATAACAGAAATCTTAGTGTCAAATCATAGTCTATCAATGTTAAGACAAACTATTCTTATTCTTTGTTTTTTATTTGTGTGCTCTCAAGTGTTGTTGGGATGTCAATTGAATCATATTATCCTTTAATAAATTGATAAAAAAGACATAAAGAAAACTGTTTATGAAATATTTTTTTATTGATCTGTTATTGTCAACATGATAAACATTTTTTATGCACATTTAAAAAAAAAATAAACATTCTTCGTTGCTCTTCAGTTTTGAACAGATTTCTAATATAACAGTAAAAAATCTCTTTGTTCCTCTAAAATCTTCAAAATATACCCCTAAAAAATACCAAGTACATGTTTTTTTTTCATCTAAAATAAAATTCCCTGATATGAATCAGGCCATTTCTTGAAATTCTAGCATCTTGTTTCCTTATTGTTTTCAGGAAACGAAAAAATTAAGCTCTAATTTTCATTTTTAATCAAAGAGATCACAGAGATGATTCCTTTTACTATGAGAATGAAAGTAGTTATTCTGGCAATCTTCAAGTAATTTTGAAACTAATATCCAATTGTACAAAAAACAATATGGTGAATGGTTTAGTAACTATTGTAAAAAATGCTACACATCACTTTAAAACTACTCAAAATGAGTTGATTAATATTTGTAATGACATTATAGTTCCAAAAATGACACGTGAAGTTAAAAAAGCTAAACGTTTTTCAATATTAGTAGATAAAGCATTTAATGTCTAACACAATTCATCTTGTGCCACTGTATGTGGCACAAGATGAATTGCGAGAAATAATCGTTTAGATGTGTTTATATATAGGGCCTATTATAGTTAAATGCTACCTATTATAGTTAAATGCTTTCAGCTAATGATTAATAACAAAGCAAAGTTTTGGAATCATGATTCAGTGCCTTACTTTTCTAATTAAGTAGCGGTATCTGGCTAATTGGAAGAAACAAGACCAATTACAAAATAATTTCATTTCCAAACTTAGATGTTTTAGCAGCACATGAAAAAGTAGCTTTCTTATCTCATTTTAGAGCAACTAAGATCAGGCATTAACTATAAATACAAATAGTGTAAAGTCTAGTAGTCTAATCAATGATGTATTAATATAACTAAATACATTAATATCAGTTAAAAGTTAAGTTATTGTAATGCTGTAATTTAAGCAGTGGTCCTAGAAAGTATAGCAATTTTTATTTATTTTTTGAAAACAATCTGGAAAAGTCTTAGAAATTATACTTTAAAAAATAAATTGTATATCATAGGCATAGACGTAGTCGTAGGTAGCGATTCCACGGCGCAACAAAAATTGTTTGGCGTTTGACGAAAAACACTGAATTTTCATAAACTTTACTCCTTTATATCTTTTTGTATAGTTATGCAAGCACCGTGCTTCAATGGCTTCACTTAAATATTATCAATATCTTGAGACCACTTTTGTTAAAAAAGTTGCCACGGACACGTTTTTTCAAAAGTAGCTTTTAAAGGTAAGATTTCCTAAGTACTCAAACACATCCAATTTGCATAAAAACTTCCATATAGATTAAAAAAAGCATGATGAATCGATTGGAAAGGGTAACCTTTCAAATTTATACAAAAATCAAATTTATATAAAAATTTTTAGTTTTCAACGTTTAAAAACTTTAAGATTGATTTAGTTTAAAATCTTTTTTTAAAAAAGTTCCCTGTCCAAGAGGTGAGTCTAGCCCTTCCTTTCTCTCAAAATCAAGTATTTATTTATGTTTTTTTAAAGATTTTATGCTTAGGAATTTTGTTTTAAAATTATGTATGCATTATATGTTGTTTTTTGCGTTTTTTGTTTTGATTTTTGCATTTGTTTACTTAATTATAAATAAATTTTTGCATTTGCTTTATGAAATTGGAATTTTTTTTATCTTTCACTTAATTAGAAATTTAAATAGTAGCTAAATAGGACGGTTCATTTTATGAAAATAATATATAACTGCTTTAAATGGTTTAAAAAATCTTTGTTCTTTCCATCATTTTTGTTTGTTGTTCAAAATAAAAAAACTTCTTATTCACATCCTTAATTAGGATTATTTCTTATATATTTTTTTTTAATTATTTCTTATTCACATCGTTAAAGAGCATTAGAAAAATCCAAAATCATTCAAAACTTCTTATTCACATCCTTAATTTAAGGCTTAATAAGGATGTAAATAAGAAATAATCCTTATTATGACTTAATAAAGATTATTTCATATTCACATCCTTATTAAGCTTTAATTTAAGGGTGCGAATAAGAAATAACTTAAGGTTGTGAATAAGAAATAATCCTTATTAAGGATGTGAATAATAAGTTTTTATATTTTGAATAACAATCAAAAATGATGGAAAGAAAAAAAAATTTAATAAGGAATAATAAGGATATATAAGGGTTGAGAACTTATATCTTTTATAAGTTATAGTACAATTTTGAATTAATTCGACCTACTTTCCTTAATTTTAAACATAAGCACAAACATTTTGTATTTTAATACTTTTATTTATTAAAAGCAAATTTTATTAATCCATTTTATTTCATTTGTTTTTACTTTTATTAAGGTTTACTTTTAATTTTAGCTTCCAAATTGTTGCTGGAAAAAACCATTTGATACTGCCAAGAATATATTGGAATTTTTAAATATTGAAGATGGTTTTGTTTTCCTCAAACACCCAAATTTTGTATTAAAAAATACCCACTTTTTACAAATTTGCAGAGAAAAAGATGAACATGACTTGACATGTTCTTCTTTTTCTGATGAACATGTCAAGTCATGTTCATCAGAAAAAGATCAGAAAAAGCCAAATCTGTCAGAATTCTTAACAAATTACTTTAAATATGCTATAACTAAAGTAATGCTTGCTAATTCCCATTAATTTTGATCATTAATGTTGGTTAGAAATGAAAAGGAGTTAAGATTGAAGTTAACCTTAATGCCACCGGGTCTGCAGGCCTTGTGATGAATAAAAACTGCACGACGCATAAGCACGACGTGATATTTGACGTCATTAAATTCTTTTTATTTGCTTTTCATATTTTTCGACTTTAACAGCACCAATTTACTTAATTACCGCAAAACTACTTTAAATCATTAATGTAGAAATGTTATTATTTAAAAATGTTTTGAAATGTTTCATTTTTTAAAATGTAAAAACATTTGCTTATTCTCTCGACGTTTGACACGTTTTGTCTATACTTAACGAATAAAAAACATTATAACTAAAATTTAAAAAAGATTATAAAATATAATTGATTTTTTAAATTTTGTAATTTAAAGTTTTTCAAATAATTGTTTTTTCTTTTTAAAAAGTCAGCGAGTAATAAACTGGAAATTTTAATATTGTATGATTAAAAAGCTAATATTTTTTATATAATATTTATTTATTTTTATTTATTTTCATAAGGCGGTTGATAAGCACAATCACTTGTATTAATAAAAAACTTAAACGAACGTTTTGAATAGATTTTTAATGTTAACAAGGAATTTTATTTCTAGTAAAATAAAATAAAATGTTAGAATAAAAATCTTATAGGTATAAAAGAAATATTTCAGCGAAAAAATTATTCTAAAAAATTATTCGAAAAACTATTGAGGTTCTATTTTTCTTGAGCACACTTCGTTGAGTTTCGGTAACTTTTAACTTAAAAGCGATCGTTATTATTTAAGTAAATTTTTTGAGTTACTTTTTGCAAAATTTTTAATAACTGTACTTTTTTATTGAATCAAGTAGAATACATTTTAATATTAATCCTTTTATTTATTTTTATTTGCGCTCACCAATTTTTAAAATGTTTTCTCGAAATTACTCTTAAATACTTTAAATACGTCTAACAGTTAATAAATATTTTTAAATCTATGGAATAGTTTTAAAACCTAATAATTCCCCGTAAAATAATTATTTAATTTTAAAATCTAAAACTAAAAGAAAGTATTTTTGTTCAATTTTATCATTAACTTTGCTGTTGCTGAATAATTTTATTAAAATGTTAGGTTAAAAGATTTAAACTTTGTTTTTAATCTGAATTTTTTCTGCTTGTAAATAATGAGCATATTTAATTTTTTTCAATTCAAACTTTTATATCAACTGCGTGCGGTTTTTAAAATACTTTATTAAATGTTAAAAGAATCGTAAATTACTTCATTAAAATTCCGCTCAAAATATCTTTAAATATACTCAAACAAAAAATTTTTTGCTCGACGCAAATAGCCCTAGCTACACGCAAAATCGCTCCTGGACGACGTAAAATTCACATCGCCCAACGCTTTATAGCAAGGCCTGGTCTGTATGTTTAATGACTGTGATGTTATTGTTGTGATGTTTTATGTTAATAGACAACTTCGCGCACCTTCACTCACTGGTGTCTATCGTTAAAAATGATTATTACGTTGTTTCATTACTGAAACTTGCTACTTCTAATCATTTACTAAAAGCCAAGAGATAAGTTTTAGAACAACAACATTTTTTGTTTTAATGTTGTTTTTGTTTTTTATTTTAGATGTTAATAGTTCACATCAACAATTTCAAAGAGTAAGTTTCTTTTTTTTTATTTATTTAATTTTAATTGT